AGGTAAGGATATCTTTTAAATTATTGATTATACACATTTGGCTCTGGGAATCTTTTTTCCAAAAACTATGATGATGATGATGATATTAATAATCATAATGCATAATGCATAATAAACAGGCAAGGCAAGGAGCTTCATATGTCCAGCTGCTTGTAGATTGGCCACTATACTCTCTCCCATTTCTTTAGAACAGAATCATTTTCAGATATTTATTGGCACATAATGAATGCATACTGGACAGAGAGCAGCAGTGTGGTTGCCAGCCCCAACAATGTTAACATCATAATGTGTAAAGATGGGGTAAGGTCACGCTACCATTCATCCTGCGGTGCCACGTGATTGGGGAAGCCTAACAAAGCACTGCAAGTGCTTTTGTCACAGTAAATTGAGAATGCACAGAATGAATTTAGTTTATTAATAATGATTATTAAGAAGCCATTCCCCTTCCCCATATCTATGTTTTAAAAAAGGCTCAATGGCACATCTGCAATGCCACATATTCCCAGTACAATGTGTTCCATCTGTCTCATGTAAACATTGAACAAGGACCAATTACACATCCCTGGATCAAGAACTGAAGAGACGCTTCAGTGAAAATGGAGAGAAATGTTGAAACAGGAGACACAAAGAAAAGTAATGTCCCCCCACATGCTTACAAAAACCGACTGCAGGTCCAGAAGACATCTGCAGCTGCTGACAGTCCTTTAAGAATGAGCAAGGAAACATCATCTCAATTGGAGGCAACAAGCCGGCACTAAAACAGTAATAAATTCCACGTGAAAGCTGGAAACAGTTCTTCTGCTCTCTACAAATTATTAGTAGACCAATAACCTTTGCAGTGAAATCCAGAAAGCCCACTTTTATTATATAATTTTTGTTCAGTAATTTTTCCTCTGTAAATGCATCCTTGAATCCTCATTTCCTGCCTTGCTATAAATTCTGAGTATATTTTTAGAGGACTGAGAGCCAGAAAGAAGTGAATTCAGAGAGAGAATCACTTGGAAAGATTTTAATGGTATCACCAAAATGAATCTATCTATCTATCTATCTATCTATCTATCTATCTATCTATCTATCTATCTATCTATGCCTTCAAGTCAGTGTGGACTCCTGAGGACTGCCTGGACAAGTCCCTGCAATTTCCTTCCTAGGGCTAAGGGGGAATGACTGGCACTAAGTCACCCAGCTGGCATTGGGCTGGACTAGAACTCAGAGTCTCCTGGTTTCTAGCCAGATGCCTTAACCACTCACCAAACTGTCTCTCTCATAAGTAATTTAGAATCAAACAAAAATACTTTTTCTTGAAATGTAATAGTCTGAGGCAATTACTTTATTCCAGTTAAGCCATTTCAAATATTTCAAACAAAAATACTGCTGCTGCTGCTGCTGCTATCATCATCATCATCATCATCATCATCATCATCATTTCCTGTCTACACTGAGTAAGTTTTGTAGGGCTATCCCTCAGCTTTTGCTCTTTGAATGTAAGGACGGTTGTATATCATAAATTCATAAGAGGTTGCACCCAACTGGACACGCTCTTCAGCAGACCCATTTCACCAGTCACGCTTCCCAGTGCAATGAGTTCTGTATTTCTACAAGCCAAGTGGCAGGCCTGCCTCACACTGTAAGTTAGCTAAGTCACAAGATCTCCAGCCCCTAAACAGCTTAGCTGACATTTTCCCCATGCAAAAGATCCTAGGTTCAATTCACAGTATTTCCAACAACTCTGGAAGCAACTGGAGGTTTTCCCTGTGTCCTGGAAAATAACAATATGGATTGAGAACTGCTCAAGGTTTAGAAAGGCTAATTTTATTGCTTTCTTCTCTCGTTGTAATCAGTGCTGGCTTTGTGACACCAGACCAAGGTGAAATGTGCTCTGTTAGTTTGTGGCTCAATATGTTCTGGGTTCAGTTGTGTGTTGTGTGAAGAACTCAGGCAATTGTGTTCATTCAATACAGTATAGTCCCAATTAGCCATGGGTTAGTGTGTTGTGCAAACTCAGTCAAAGAGAAAGAATTGTGTGGGCCATGAAGGCAACTGCTTATGTCATAAACCACTTCCTCTTCTGGAAGGCTTATTTGTGGAAAATTGCTCGACCACCCCCAGAATGGTGTTGTCTTCAGGAAGAACAGAATGTTCTGGAGTTCCTTGCATCGTTTCATCTCAGGAGACAAAACATTTTGCATGTGCCTATCCCACAGCTTTTCATTTCACCACATTAGCAAAGAAGAAAAATGTCAGATGGATCAAAAGAAGTGGCTCCTGAGGGGGCAGGGGGGGCACAAAAAAACAAATCTGGTGAGATGGAAAGAGAACATGCATCTGCTTGTGAAGAAAAGATGTGGGTGAAATAAGGGATTATTTATTAGGCTCTTGAGGTTTTGTTTTTGCTTCACAAAGGCAATTTGTCTAAAGACAGTGCCAATTAACAAATAGATAAATAACCCATTAAAGCATTAAGTGCTTCCTTTATTCTGTTCATTTGGGGCTGGGTTTTTCTTTTCTTTTCTTTATATTTCATACATCATTTATACTCTTACAGAACCATCTCTTTTCCGGAGAACAAAGGGAACGGAAAGATGATCCTTTCATCATTATTTGGAAAGCTAGATTGGGGACCTAGATTTGCCTGCAGCTATAAAAACACTCCAGACTCTCTACCAACTTCATAGCAATTGATACTGATGCACTGACAAGAGCACATTCCCTAGACTGAGAAGCGTATTATGTGATCAGTCCCCACTGATTCTTTGAGCTTTTGATTTACATTCACGAAGCCCAGGAATGTCAGCCGTGAACATCTTCTGAACTAACCCTCGTGCATTCCAGCATTCACACTGATGTCTGGCAAGTGTTCCAATCACCTTGAGGATGCATTTGAAATGTAACCGTTCACACTTCTGTGCTTGTCCGTTAAACAGTAGGTCTGTAAAGATCCTACCACAGTTAAATTCATTTCTTAGCTCACTTCCTGACAAAGTTGTATAACAATCGCAGAGTCCTCATTAGTTTGAAGTTGCTAACTAGCATCTTCTACTCCAGTTCTGCGTCCCAACTGATACTTCATGCATCTTCACTGACCTGCTTCCAGGTTAGTTTTCCCATGAGTTGGGAAATAAATGAAAATGCCTGAGCTCTAAAATATCACCTTTTCAAAAAATGATTTTTATTAAAAGAAATTTTTACAAAGATTTAAAAAGAACTACAGAGACATAGAAGAAAAAGAAGAAAAAGAAAAAGCTTATAAAAGGGTAAAAGAAAAAGTGAATAACAAAAAACCAGAAAAAGAAAGATATCTAAAGAAGCGACTTCCTATCTTCTTTGCTGCAGTTAGAATTAAAGTAATTACTGTCTCCACCCTGCCAAATTACATATCATAGTCCCCTTCTTCCCATAAACAAACCTTTTTAATCGATAAATCCCAAAATCAGCAGTTAATTTTGATCCATTTTCAGCAAAAAGTTTATAAAGGGTTTCCAGACTTTTATAAAAGTAATTGTAGTTCCCCCCTTGATCAAACAAGTCCATTACCCATTTCTGCAAACTCAGCCATCTTCACAATTAAAACATCTCCTGTAAAAAGAAAAGAACAAAAACTCTAGCCCCACCCATATATGTTGGATGTTGTCCTACCCACTTTGCATCTCCCAGCCCCTGAAAAGATGTTAAGCACAGCCTTGACTATCAAATGGTTGCCCACTGCTGCTTCAGTATCGCTGGGCCGAGCTTGTCTGGAGATTCTGTAGCTATGCGGAGCTGGGAAAAGGCCCAGCAGCAGAGGCCTAGATGGTCCAGTGGCAGCCAGCCTTTGCCTAGGCACTGGAGACCTAGAAGGCGCCCAGTAGGAGAGGTCACGGTAAGTGGAGCGGTGCCCAAGGCAGATCAGAAAGGCCTGAGGTAGACTCTGGGGGAGCAAGGGGTGTACCAAGAGGGCCTAGTGGTAGAGGCCTGGGACAGAGAAGGGCTACCAGCCGCCTGACAGGCTTAGGGACATCCTGGAAGAGATCAGGGCAGCTGGGAGGTCCTGGGGGAGGATTCCCCTGGAAATTGCTCACAGGGGGCCTTGTAGGCCCAGTTAACTCACAGGCCCATAGAGCCACCATAGTTAACCAGGACAAGCTAGGCCTAGATCCCTGGAAGGGTGGGGGAATTACACCATGGGAGAAGACCAGTGTTTGTTGTTCTCCCACCATCTTCTCTCACTGCCCCTGGATGTAAGATTCAGGGATGTTACATGGCAAGAATTACTGCCAGTGGGCCACCACCTGCTGTGCAGCTCCAGAAAAGCACACCTTTGCAACATTTCTCTGGAGAGTCAATTCAAAAGTTATGTGGGGTATGTCATCATCTTACAAAATCCCTTCCTATTCGTTAGGACTTTTGAACGTCCCACTCTGAATGCAATGCTGCTCACACCCCTGTAGTGGAAAAGTGGTGGTTTTTTCATTTTCTGTCCGAATATTCTGGAACCTGTTGGAGAAAAAGGGTTTTCTTCCTTCTCAAAATGAGGTTCATCTTCTCAAGCAGGACACTAGAGGACTTTGGTCTCCAAAATGTATTATGGGTTTGCAAAGCCAGGTCAAGCACAGATAGACACATTTAGGAATATTCCATGGGAAAGACCCTAATACACAGGAAACAGGGTATATTTATAATCAACCAAAAAAGGAAATACAAGAGTATAAATGTGACTGGTTACTAATTAATTATAAAAAGGCAAAGTTTTAAAATAGACCCGACTTGCTAAGCTGTGTCTGCTAAATGTATTTGCTAGGTGTCAAGCCACAGCTTCAGCTAGGTGTTCTGACCAGCTTCCTCTTAAAGCCTAACCACAAATATAATATAAAAACTATTCTTATGTACCTACTTGCTTCTAGTGCTTGCTAAATATTTACTTAAAACATTTATTAATATTCAAACTTCAATTCTTCCACAAGCCCCATCTTTTTTTGTTTGTAAATTCAGGGAATGTTTCTCCAGATTCTGTAGGTATTCCAATGGGTCTTTCTCCTTATTCCAATGAAGTCCTTACGGTGGCCTTGGTCCTTCTGTTCCTGTCTTCCACTGTTTTGTGTGACTGCTCAACTCCAACTCTACCCCCGCATTCTTCACTAAGAAGCGGAGGAACCCTAAAAGATAGCTATCCTACTGGAACTGTTTTGCAATTAACTTGCATCATAGGTTATGAACCTATACCTGGAATGCCTCCTGCTATTGCATGTCTTCCAACTGGAAAGTGGGCGGACACTCCTACATTTTGTCGAGGAAGGCGATGTCCAACTCCACATGTAGATAATGGCAGAATAGTATCCTCAACTGACCTCCGGCTTGGCGAAACAGTAACCTTTGCCTGCGATCACGGGTTCAGAATAATAGGCGATTCTACCCTTCGATGCGTTCTAAAATCAGGCAGAGTTGACTGGAATAGACATCCTCCACACTGCCAACGTATTCCTTGTGTTCGCCCTCCTACAATTTCCAATGGAAGGTATAATCCTGACCCTGCAGATGAATATTCTATTGGCTCAGCAGTTATATACCGGTGTGATGCCGATTACTCTCTTATTGGAAATTCAAGTATTACCTGTATAGTTACAGCTGATGGTCTAAATGGAGAGTGGAATTCACGTCCACCTGAATGTAAAAAGGTCACTTGTAATAGGCCAAATATCCCAAATGGGAGACTGACAACTGTGTTTCAACCTACATATACATATGGCACTGGTATATCATTTCAGTGCAATCCTGGCTATACTTTGGTAGGGGCTGCTTTTGTTAGATGTGGTGCTAAGAATACATGGAATCCTCCTGTTCCAAGTTGTGTCAAGACTGTAGTCTCCACCACTACCAAACCTGGACTCCCACCACCAGGTCATCCTGCCCCACCTGCTGTTCCTCCTATATTCCCAGTTCCCCCTACACCTGTTCCTCCAGAAGATGAAACTAAAGAAATTCCAGTGCTCCCAACCCAAAGTGAAACAATTCCCACAGATGAATCAGGATCTGGCAAAACTGTTGGAATTGCTATTGGAGTTATTCTTGCAGCTATAATTCTGACTGCTTTAATTTTTGCATCTGTGAAATGGATATTTTGCCGGAGGAAAGCTGACACTCCTGTATCAGGGAAAGATACAGCTTTGGAGGGAAGAAAAACGATTGATGATCTGAGTCCACGGAAATTTCAAAGTAAAACTTCAGAAACTTTTCAACGTTCTTCCACTTCAGAAATGAAAATGGGGACTCAGTGAAGATTTGAGTCCAAAGTTTAGTAATTGTCATAGTTCTACAGTTTCGCCCTTGGATGAGGCAGTTAGTGTATGAAACAGTGAATACTCCAAAATGAAGTTTCCAAAAAATGCTCCTTTTGTATATGCTGCTTCTACATTCTAGTAATCTGTACTTATGCCCTTTCCAGGTGTCTCTTACAGGGTCTCTTTCTGTATGTCTGAGATACAGAATCTGAGGGAGTTCCCCATGTATCTGCTTCAGGGATGATGCCTTATCCTGTTATCAGGGTATAAAGATACTAGAATGGAAGCATTCTGCAAGTTCTCTTAAGAGCCTTGTTCTTAAAACTGTTTCTGAGTTCATGTGACATCAAAACAAAAGTCATCTTTGCTTCTGGAGTTTTAAAATTGTGCTAAAGCAATAATCTGTGCCTAATATAAATTGTGATCTGTTTTATATTTTAGCAGTCAACGTAAACTTTGTAAATTGAACCAAATAAATTAAGGGGAACTTTTAAGAGACTTATCTTATAATTTATGTCACTAAATTCACTGTGACCAGAAAGCACTGTGCTTTGGTTAAATGGAGCCCAACCTGTAATATTCAGGATATGTGTCAGGGAACATGTGATGAAATGCCAGACTAAATGAAGAAGTGCTCTTCAGTACATAATAATTGTTATATTTGATGTCTCTTTCTCATCCTTTACATTTTGGGAAATAACTATACCTACTTTTTATAATCCAACAGTGAGTAAAAGTTCTCATAATTATTCATAAGTCTTCTAGTAAATAACTTATGACTAGTTGTGTGTAGGGAGTTGTTCCACTGGCTCAGATAGAATGTAAATGTTCTTCATTTTCAAGTCCCTGGATGTACAATTGTTATCTATAAAGTACTAAAACTCTT